ACGATGCCTGTCGATATCTGTTTGATATACATGTCAACATTATTGCAGACAACGATCTACTATGGCTCTCGATATCTGTTTAATATATATATCAACATTCTTTCACACAACGATCTACGATGGCTGTCGATATCTGTTTGATACATATATCAACATACTTTCACACAACGATAAAGAGTGGCTCTCGATATCTGTTTGATATATATGTCAACATTATTGCACACAACGATCTTACGATGGCTGTCGATATCTGTTTGATATATATGTCAACATTATTGCTGACAACGATCTACGATGGCTGACAATATCTGTTTGATATATATCACAACTTTATTGCAGATAACGATCTACGATGGCTGTCGATAACTCTTTGATACACATATTAACATACTTTCACACAACGATCTAAGATGGCTCTCGATATCTGTTTGATACATATGTCAACATACTTTCACACAATGATCTATGATGGCTCTCGATATCTCTTTGATACATATATCAACATATTTCACACAACAATCTCCGATGGCTCTCGATATCTGTTTGATACATATGTCAACATACTTTCACACAATGATCTATGATGGCTCTCGATATCTGTTTGATACATTTATCAACATATTTTCACACAACGATCTATGATGGCTCTCGATATCTGTTTGATATATTTATCAACATACTTTCACAGAACGATCTACGATGGCTCTCGATATCTGTTTGATGCATTTATCAACATATTTTCACACAACAATAGAACAGTGGCTCTCGATATCTGTTTGATATATATGTCAACATTATTGCAGACAACTATCTACGATGGCTCTCGATATCTGTTTAATATATATATCAACATTCTTTCACACAACGATCTACGATGGCTGTCAATATCTGTTTGATACATATATCAACATACTTTCACACAACGATAAACAGTGGCTCTCGATATTTGTTTGATATATATGTCAACATTATTGAACAGAACGATCTTACGATGGCTGTCTATATCTGTTTGATATATATGTCAACATTATTGCTGACAACGATCTACGATGGCTGACAATATCTGTTTGATATATATCACAACTTTATTGCAGATAACGATCTACGATGGATGTCGATATCTCTTTGATACACATATTAACATACTTTCACACAACGATCTAAGATGGCTCTCGATATCTGTTTGATACATATGTCAACATACTTTCACACAATGATCTATGATGGCTCTCGATATCTGTTTGATACATATATCAACATATTTCACACAACGATCTACGATGGCTCTCGATATCTGTTTGATACATATGTCAACATACTTTCACACAATGATCTATGATGGCTCTCGATATCTGTTTGATACATTTATCAACATATTTTCACACAACGATCTATGATGGCTCTCGATATCTGTTTGATATATTTATTAACACACTTTCACAGAACGATCTACGATGGCTCTCGATATCTGTTTGATACATTTATCAACATATTTTCACACAACAATAGAACAGTGGCTCTCGATATCTGTTTGATATATATGTCAACATTATTGCAGACAACGATCTACGATGGCTCTCGATATCTGTTTGATATATATGTCAACATTATTGCAGACAACGATCTACGATGGCTCTCGATATCTGTTTAATATATATATCAACATTCTTTCACACAACGATCTACGATGGCTGTCGATATCTGTTTGATACATATATCAACAAACTTTCACACAACGATCTACGATGGCTCTCGATATCTGTTTGATACACATATCAACATACTTTCACACAACAATCTACGATGGCTGTCGATATCTGTTTGATACATATGTCAACATACTTTCACACAACTATCTACGATGGCTGTCGATATCTGTTTGATATACATGTCAACATTATTGCAGACAACAATCTACGATGGCTGTCGACATATGTTTGATACATATATCAACAGACGTTCACACAACGATCTACGATGGCTGTCGATATCTGTTTGATACATATATCAACATTCTTTCACACAACGATCTACGATGGCTCTCGATATCTGTTTGATACATATGTCAACATACTTTCACACAACGGTCTACGATGGCTCTCGATATCTGTTTGATACATATGTCAACATATTTCACACAACGATCTACGATGGCTGTCGATATCTGTTTGATACATATGTCAACATACTTTCACACAATGATCTATGATGGCTCTCGATATCTGTTTGATACATTTATCAACATATTTTCACACAACGATCTATGATGGCTCTCGATATCTGTTTGATATATTTATTAACACACTTTCACAGAACGATCTACGATGGCTCTCGATATCTGTTTGATACATTTATCAACATATTTTCACACAACAATAGAACAGTGGCTCTCGATATCTGTTTGATATATATGTCAACATTATTGCAGACAACGATCTACGATGGCTCTCGATATCTGTTTGATATATATGTCAACATTATTGCAGACAACTATCTACGATGGCTCTCGATATCTGTTTAATATATATATCAACATTCTTTCACACAACGATCTACGATGGCTGTCGATATCTGTTTGATATACATGTCAACATTATTGCAGACAACAATCTACGATGGCTGTCGACATATGTTTGATACATATATCAACAGACGTTCACACAACGATCTACGATGGCTGTCGATATCTGTTTGATACATTTATCAACATTCTTTCACACAACGATCTACGATGGCTCTCGATATCTGTTTGATACATATATCAACATACTTTCACACAACGATCTACGATGGCTCTCGATATCTGTTTGATACATATATCAACATACTTTCACACAACAATCTACGATGGCTCTCGATATCTGTTTGATACATATGTCAACATACTTTCACACAACGGTCTACGATGGCTCTCGATATCTGTTTGATATATATGTCAACATTATTGCAGACAATGATCTACGATGGCTGTCGATATCTGTTTGATACATATATCAACATACGTTCACACAACTATCTACGATGACCTGCGATTTCTGTTTGGTATATCCATCTACATAGGTCCATGTACGACATCCTTCAATAGTGTAATCCTAGCTACGTCAAGGTATGTACATATGAACGTCTACGAGAACCCTCGCATACTGCTACATAGGTAGCTCATTAGCATACATGATTTGTAAGTAGGTATAAAGGTTCTGAAAAAAATGTACATGTGAAAACCGCCAATATTTCATATATCTATATTTTCAAATATTATTCCTGTGAGCATGGCCACGGAAAAAACCCATGAATGCCCTATTTTTTCATGTTATCTACTGTATCTCTGAAAACTTTGGTTGGAAGAGATGCTATCTGTACTCGTTGTGTTCTCCATACGGAAGGCATTATAAAGGAGGCATGCGTTGCGACGAAACAGTCAACATATTGCCCCTTTTTCCTCCAACGTGATATCAGGGATAATCTACAGCGTCTTCTATTCTCCCTGGTGATATAAAACAATCTCAGCTAAAAAACTCGCGTATTTATTGGCAGTAAGTGTACCCCATTTCAAATAATAATAAAAACTTATTTTGCATTCTTTTTTATGGTTACATATCCTGACAGTCTGGCGTCTGATAAAACACAAATGTCCGTGCTGAAAATAACTCCCCCCCATCTGTTTCCGCTACAACAAAGTCTCGCTTGACTCTGGTGGATGAGGCCCATGGCGGCAATCACGTCTAAGAAAAGGATAGGTATATCTTTTGCGTTATCAACCCTACGGAATATTTACAAACATTATCTGTCACGGGGAGTGGACTATATTTTCCAATACCGTATTCGTCTTGGGATGTATGCAATCATCATCTTTCATACAAGAGTCTCTGTCTCCCGGGAATAAATCACAACATACATCCAACTCAAGTACCCCGGGCTGGTTAAAGCGTTTGGGGGATATCTGTCTCTTCAAACACAGAAGTCCATCAGTGGGTCCACAACACTTTATTCGGCAGCTAGATATGTAATTACATGGTAGTGCAGCAACGGCCAGGCGGAATCACAGAGGCGATCGTCAGCCCACCTGCCTAGCCGAGGGTCAAGTCCCGTCACATTTCGTCTTCTTCGGTGAGGTGCTTTGGAGGTCGCCTTCGCCTGTTGGCATTTCGGCAGACCTATTCGTCACATTAGGAATTCATTGTCTATATACTACTGACTGCCAGGCTGCCCTGTATCGTATTACAATACATGTATGGCCAACCTGCAGTATCCAGCATGCACCTCATCCACAATGTTACGTTTCCGTGGCCAACCGGCCATAATCTAAAGTTAACATTTTTTAGGGTTAAGTACAAGCAGGCAGCTGACCTGTACTGGTTGTGCTGATGGTCGTGATAATAAGCTGCTGATATTTCATGTATATTGTCAGCACTGTGATTTAGATTTAGATAACACAACTTTGACTTAACTCAGAGAATATACAAACATGTCTATATTTCCAGATAAAACCCATACCCCATCAAAGTGCCTACGACACAAGTCTTGAATTATTTGACAAAGTCATGAGAAAAAGCATTGTTCTGGCTTATGTAGGAATTGCACATTAAAATATATACTTTAAAAAAGGAAAACTTAATTTATGAGACAAGATGTTATCTGCAGACAGGACAGCTACTCAACAGGAATGGTCATTCACCTTAACTTGTGTCTTTCCGGAACAGGCCTTTCAAGTTAAAAAGAGATCGATACAGGGACGTCACTCTTACATTGACAAGTCCCGTGGTCAGCAAAGTATCACGATTACCAGGAGTTTAAAGCGTTTATCAGGCATTAACCATCAGTGTAAGCGATGATTGAAATGAAGTAAAGCACGATCACAAAGTTGGGATGTTCCCATTCACTGGGAACAAAGTTTTTGTGTTTAATATCGCCTAGCTCACACATGAGGTCATTCAGTTTTTATTTTATGATATGCTTGTCTCGCATCACTTTACAACGGTACAGTGACGGGCGCGCGCAGCCTCGAGTGATCGTGCACCTGTGTTTAGAGTGTGACAATGCGTGGCGTTATTCTGCATCCCATGACGCCTGTCAATCATCGGCGTGTCTATTGCAATACACTGGTTGGGCACACGCAATAGTGAGACCTTACAAACGGCTTTGAATATATGTTATTGACAAGAATCGTGATAACGTTATATTGACTGGTTATATAGAGTTACGGTTCATCCCATCAGCGCATATTTCAGTTATTCAGTGTTATAATGCTGGGAGTGTTTATCACTTGCGACGGAATATTTCCACAACTTAGACAGTAACCTTTTAGAACATAGGCACCGGACAGGTCATCTCTCTAATGGAAGAATGGGACACGGTCACTCAGGAGACAATTCATTGAAAGTAAGAAGTTCAGCATGCAGAAGACGGACATGATCTTAGATACGCCACTTTACCTGTGAAATAAAAGCAAGAGCACAGAACTTTCAGGTTAATTCACAAAACACGTGCTACTACCGTCGGATCTAGATCGACCTCACAGGACCGAGTGAGAATTTAATACGCCGTATATCACGTCGCGTAGCTGGGTCCCGCGAACATTACGTAAAGACGTGAAAGTACGACACTGTAGGTCCCTAGAGTCCTACACCTTCTGACCACAGGCATCCAGATATACATTCTCCTTCACACATCTCAGAAGCTCCTGGACTGGTATGAACCGAGAGATATTGGGCTTACCTGCTGTGAATATCTCATACCCTTCTCAAGTGAGCGTACTGTGCCCCATGCCCAGCTAGTTCACCGTACAGAGACAAGGGGTTCAACGTTACCAGGACACTTTCATTCTTCTACTCAATACGACAACATGAACGTCATTGGTGTTGTCGTAATGTGTTTGGCTGCAAGCCACCTCCCTGCTGTACATGGTAAGATATTAAATTGTATTGGTTTCTTTTCCAGTTTGTTTTTGGTACTTTAGATTTTATGTTATGAATTTCAAAACCGTAACAAGTATTGTTTCAACACACTCGAAGCTGGTATTTTGTTATTGGTAAATATATGTTTGATTATTGTGCGTTCCAATCCATCTATCATACTTCCTGTAGAACAATATATTGGAATTTAAAATATTTGTTTTACTTATTGTCAACTTATCATCACTCATAACCCAAGATTATATTATTGTGTAAGGTTTTTTTATTCTTATATTATGTCTGTCTGTAGTTCAATTTACGAAACGTGATTTTAAGTTATATACAATTTTATGCAATTGAAAAGAAATAGTAATTGTTTCTACATAACAGAACTGTTTCTAGACGGGTGGCAATGGCAAATTAGCCTGCTTAGTGTCGGTATTTATAAATGAAAACACCGTGCGTAGATAAATATAAGGCCAACTTGAACAGTAGCGAGTACTGCACAGTTACCGAGATACAGGCCCCTAAAAAACCCTCGTCACCGACATTCTCGAAATGTCTGTACGACCAACAGTGAAGTACTATTATTGATCAAATAGTTTAAAGAACACAAAGCATATGCATGAGGAAATATGTTAAGAACGCAGACAGTAAGTAGGTTGCACAACACAGATAAGCTCGTGGACCTTGATACAAAATACATACACCATGTCAACCCTTCACGGTGTCGGCTTATTTCATCCGGCTACAATAAACAATACATTGGCGTAATAGCAGGGTAGAGCAGGCCAGGCTGGATAAAGCAGGTACTGCATGGGGTTCTCGCGTTGGATAAACATATATCACACAGGATTCATGTCATAGATAAATAGATATCAAGTGGGTTCTATATGCTGCATTAGGAGAGATCACGCTGGAGTCACTAGTTGATGAAGAGGATATTACTTTTGTTCACATGTTGGATAAAGTAGACATCTCGTAGGTTTCACCGATTGATAAACTAGACATTCATGGGTTTCATATACTACCCATCAAAAGTTTAGACTCACTAGTGTCAATGTAACCACTTACTTCAGTGAGCTGTTCTAAACTTGATTTTGCATTTATTCCATGCTGTTCCACACACATGAACTAATGTGAAACAAATTTGTAACGTTGAAAAATTATTGTCATGAATACAGTAAATGATGAAAATCAGTGAAAATTGGCGAATTCTTAACAAAACTTTACACCTAAATGCAGCTGTGCACATGAACGATATTTGCACGTTTTTTAGCAGTTTGATACATGATCCCAGGTGTGTTCATATGCATAAAGAAATTGGTTACCCCAGGTTCGATGTAACCATATATATATGCATAGCATGTAGTGAGTGCATTAGGTGAGTCTAAACTTTTGATGGGTAGTATATACTAGGTATTTGAAGAATATATCACATAGGGGTCATCTGTTGTTATTCAACAGGAGAGTTAACGTGTTGGATAAGGAAATATCACCCTGGTGATATCAGATGGTGGATGGAGAACATATCACTTAGCGTTCACGTGTTTGATAAAGTAGTTATCACGTGGGATTCCTGCATGTTGGATGAAGAAGACATCACATAGGGGTCATCTGTTGTTATTCAACAGGAGAGTTAACGTGTTGGATAAGGAAATATCACCCTGGTGATTTCAGATGGTGGATGGAGAAGATATCACTTAACGTTCACGTGTTTGACAAAGTAGTTATCACGTGGGATTACTGCATGTTGGATGAAGAAGACATCAAATAGGGGTCAGATGTTTGATAAAGTAGATATCACGTGGGTTTCATATGCTGTAGGTAGGATATAGGGTTCACGTGTTTGATAAAGTAGATACCACGTGGGTTTCATATGCTGTAGGTATGATATAGGGTTCACGTGTTTGATAAAGCAGATACCACGTGGATTCCATGTGGTGTAGGTATGATATAGGGTTCACGTGTTTGATAAAGTAGACATCACGTGGGTTTCATGTGCTGTAGGTATGATATAGGGTTCATGTGTTTGATAAAGTAGATATCACGTGGGTTTCATATGCTGTAGGTATGATATAGGGTTCACGTGTTTGATAAAGTAGATATCACGTGGGTTTCATATGCTGTAGGTATGATATAGGGTTCACGTGTTTGATAAAGTAGACATCACCTGGGTTTCATATGCTGTAGGTATGATATAGGGTTCACGTGTTTGATAAAGTAGACATCACCTGGGTTTCATATGCTGTAGGTATGATAGAGGGTTCACGTGTTTGATAAAGTAGACATCACGTGGGTTTCATATGCTGTAGGTATGATATAGGGTTCACGTGTTTGATAAAGTAGACATCACGTGGGTTTCATATGCTGTAGGTATGATATAGGGTTCACGTGTTTGATAAAGTAGATATCACGTGGGTTTCATATGCTGTAGGTATGATATAGGGTTCACGTGTTTGATAAAGTAGACATCACGTGGGTTTCATATGCTGTAGGTATGATATAGGGTTCACGTGTTTGATAAAGTAGATATCACGGGTTGGGTTTCATATGCTGTAGGTATGATATAGGGTTCACGTGTTTGATAAAGTAGACATCACGTGGGTTTCATATGCTGTAGGTATGATATAGGGTTCACGTGTTTGATAAAGTAGACATCACGTGGGTTTCATATGCTGTAGGTATGATATAGGGTTCACGTGTTTGATAAAGTAGACATCACGTGGGTTTCATATGCTGTAGGTATGATATAGGGTTCACGTGTTTGATAAAGTAGACATCACGTGGGTTTCATATGCTGTAGGTATGATATAGGGTTCACGTGTTTGATAAAGTAGACATCACGTGGGTTTCATATGCTGTAGGTATGATATAGGGTTCACGTGTTTGATAAAGTAGACATCACGTGGGTTTCATATGCTGTAGGTATGATATAGGGTTCACGTGTTTGATAAAGTAGACCTCACGGGTTTCATATGCTGTAGGTATGATATAGGGTTCACGTGTTTGATAAAGTAGACATCACGTGGGTTTCATATGTTGTAGGTATGATATAGGGTTCACGTGTTTGATAAAGTAGACATCACGTGGGTTTCATATGCTGTAGGTATGATATAGGGTTCACGTGTTTGATAAAGTAGACATCACGTGGGTTTCATATGCTGTAGGTATGATATAGGGTTCACGTGTTTGATAAAGTAGACATCACGTGGGTTTCATATGCTGTAGGTATGATATAGGGTTCACGTGTTTGATAAAGTAGACATCACGTTGGTTTCATATGCTGTAGGTATGATATAGGGTTCACGTGTTTGATAAAGTAGATATCACGTGGGTTTCATATGCTGTAGGTATGATATAGGGTTCACGTGTTTGATAAAGTAGACATCACGTGGGTTTCATATGCTGTAGGTATGATATAGGGTTCACGTGTTTGATAAAGTAGATATCACATGGGTTTCATATGCTGTAGGTATGATATAGGTTCACGTGTTTGATAAAGTAGACATCACGTGGGTTTCATATGCTGTAGGTATGATATAGGGTTCACGTGTTTGATAAAGTAGATATCACATGGGTTTCATATGCTGTAGGTATGATATAGGGTTCACGTGTTTGATAAAGTAGATATCACGTGGGTTTCATATGCTGTAGGTATGATATAGGGTTCACGTGTTTGATAAAGTAGACATCACGTGGGTTTCATATGCTGTAGGTATGATATAGGGTTCACGTGTTTGATAAAGTAGACATCACGTGGGTTTTCATATGCTGTAGGTATGATATAGGGTTCACGTGTTTGATAAAGTAGATATCACGTGGGTTTCATATGCTGTAGGTATGATATAGGGTTCACGTGTTTGATAAAGTAGATATCACGTGGGTTTCATATGCTGTAGGTATGATATAGGGTTCACGTGTTTGATAAAGTAGATATCACGTGGGTTTCATATGCTGTAGGTATGATATAGGGTTCACGTGTTTGATAAAGTAGACATCACGTGGGTTTCATATGCTGTAGGTATGATATAGGGTTCACGTGTTTGATAAAGTAGACATCACGTGGGTTTCATATGCTGTAGGTATGATATAGGGTTCACGTGTTTGATAAAGTAGATATCACGTGGGTTTCATATGCTGTAGGTATGATATAGGGTTCACGTGTTTGATAAAGTAGACATCACGTGGGTTTCATATGCTGTAGGTATGATATAGGGTTCACGTGTTTGATAAAGTAGATATCACGTGGGTTTCATATGCTGTAGGTATGATATAGGGTTCACGTGTTTGATAAAGTAGACATCACGTGGGTTTCATATGCTGTAGGTATGATATAGGGTTCACGTGTTTGATAAAGTAGATATCACGTGGGTTTCATATGCTGTAGGTATGATATAGGGTTCACGTGTTTGATAAAGTAGATATCACGTGGGTTTCATATGCTGTAGGTATGATATAGGGTTCACGTGTTTGATAAAGTAGATATCACGTGGGTTTCATATGCTGTAGGTATGATATAGGGTTCACGTGTTTGATAAAGTAGATATCACGTGGGTTTCATATGCTGTAGGTATGATATAGGGTTCACGTGTTTGATAAAGTAGATATCACGTGGGTTTCATATGCTGTAGGTATGATATAGGGTTCACGTGTTTGATAAAGTAGACATCACGTGGGTTTCATATGCTGTAGGTATGATATAGGGTTCACGTGTTTGATAAAGTAGACATCACGTGGGTTTCATATGCTGTAGGTATGATATAGGGTTCACGTGTTTGATAAAGTAGACATCACGTGGGTTTCATATGCTGTAGGTATGATATAGGGTTCACGTGTTTGATAAAAGTAGACATCACGTGGGTTTCATATGCTGTAGGTATGATATAGGGTTCACGTGTTTGATAAAGTAGACATCACGTGGGTTTCATATGCTGTAGGTATGATATAGGGTTCACGTGTTTGATAAAGTAGACATCACGTGGGTTTCATATGCTGTAGGTATGATATAG